AATAACCACCCAATCAAATGAAACATTATAATCGTCTACAAGCAGACGTGATGTACGGCCTAAGGTCGAGGAAATATACTGTTCACCGTATTCTGGGATGAAAATGACATGAGAAGACCATTATCAATTTATGTGCAGTGTTCTGATCATCTTTTGAAAGATCACAAATCAGAAAATCTTGATTATTCATAACATGATGGCAAAATACAACAGTCAAATGTAGCCCAGTGTGGTAGTTATAAAAACAAAACTGTACGATCACATGGAGACAAAGTTTGGCTTTACTGCATAACAGTAACAGTCACGGTGTGTGCCATGTTTTCTGTAAACTGTTGAACATATTTTGTATTATACTATTATAATAATATTTTATATTATTATAATTTCCCAATAAAAGTATCAACAATCATTTAATTTGGAATCTTCATTTTTGATTGCATTCCACCTAAACTGGCAAAATGACAAACAGACATGAATGAAAGCATTATAGCGCCACCACAGCCTTGAGATCTAACTTGGTTGTCACCACTCGGTCATGAACCTCACCAGCTTAGATAATGAAGCATTATAATTAAATTGGAACTGGAAATGTCACTCTTTGACTGTCTTTTAATTTATGGCTTTTCTGCTCTAATTAGAGTGAGTCACAAAGGTGTCTTCATAAATCTTGCAATAATGAGATGTTAAGTGCAAATCATCCTAAACTGTCACTGTAATCTCCACTTTAGGGACAACAAAAATAAATTAAAATTCATAAGTTGACTCAAGTCAAAGAAATTTAATTATAGTGACACGGACAACAATAGTAAATTATTAGTAATTGATGTATGATTTCATTTGAGATCAATTAAATCATGCAACCACAATTTCAGTTATTCATTACGGCTATGCTGACTGAGTATTTTGTACTGTTCGGTACACAATATCTATGATTTATGTACTTCCTGGAAACAGAAAACAATAACAAAGTTGATTAAAAATGTATCATCCAATTTCGTTCTATTTAACACATACTTTCGATTTATGTTGTTATTAAAAATGTATGTTAAAGAACTAGTTTATGCAACACCAAAACAGGCCAATCTTTCATGAGGTTCTTGTGGTTAAAATATCTTGTATCTCTGAATACTGTTATGAAATATAAGATGAATACATATGATTCTCTTATTACAAAACTCTAATGTGTAATATTTGTTTACGTAGACCTTAGACGAAAATGGACGTCAAGATCTCGCTAAGAGCGAGAGCTACAAGACTTGTTCTTTGCTCCTTAAACAGCGTTCTAATCTCCTCGTCCTCGCATCTACTTGCTCAGATACTATAATTACGAAAGAAAGGAAAGCTTTATTTAAAGGATGGTGATCATCGCGACTATGTTCTTTAGAATTCATTGAAATATTGTGTAAATACAAAACCGCATACGACTCGCATGTGTTTAGGTTGCTATGTGTAGTATGGGACCCATTTCAAGTGCACATGTTTGAGACAATCACCACCCATTTTTCGACTGAATGAATCTCATGATTTTTTTTTATTTAGACAAGAAGGTTATCTTGTATTGAGATTGAAAGATCAATGCACCTTGGCTGAAAATGCAACAAAACAATACACAGAAACAGTAAGTTACAAAATTGACATCGGAACATTAGGCATACATATTACACTGTATAGAATAATCAAATCTAATCTAATTTTCATTCAACCTTGAATTTACCTGTCGCAGATTAAGGACAATGATAACAGGAAACAACATTTTCACTCTGAATGGCCCTGATGACAACAGTGTTTCCTTTCAGTGGGAAAGACGTCAATTTCTATAGAGGCTGTTATTATTATAATTTCATTAAACCATAAATTACTGACAAAGATTGTTTTCATTCCATTTACATTCTGCAGACAGTCATATTTATATTTAAAAAGAAAAATATCACAATTTCCTTCATTTAAATATGAGAAGGTTTCCTTATTCAAATGATGGATAATAAAAATAATAATAACAATCTTTATTATAGCTCTAAATTTATTACATTTCTTTGTTGGTTTGTAAATAATAAAGTGATAAAAGATATGGCAAGTATATTAAAACCTAACATAGAGTTTCTTTTATAAAGAATTAATAACTCTTTGGAGGTCCAAGCCAACTTTTTGTCAACAAAATAAACCAACATCTTCTTTATTTTGACCAAGATCTGAAGCCAAGAAAAAGTGACGCTCATTTGGTCCAGAATTAACAATCCAGGCTCATGTACAGGAACATGAAACAAATCATCTTAAGTATCTTAACATGTATAATGTTTATATCAAATTTGAAAACTGACAAATCCTGTCCAAGGATAAAAAAAAAACAAGATGGATGCCAGTCGGCCATCTTTGATCTAATTATGGAACAAACTGACATGAACATTTATTTCAATATGTATGATGTATGTGCCAAATATGATTAAAAATGGTTACTAAGCCTTGGCGATATAGTAGTATGGTCAAAAAGCAAATTTGAACAAAAACTGACAAAATATGCATAAGATACCACATTTTTAAAAAACAAAATCGTTGCCAGTTGGCCATCTTTGATCCGATCGCGAAACCAATCGTCATATACCTATATCATAACATATATAATGTATGTACCTACCGGGGTCATACGAACAAAAACTGAGGAAGCATACATAAGATACCACATTTTCAAAAAACAAAATGGCTGCCAAATGGCTATCATAAATCCGATCGTGAAATGAACCATCATAGACATGTATCCTAACATGTATAATGTCTGTACCAAATTTGAACAAAAACTGACAAAGCATGCATAAGGTACCACATTTTCAAAAAAAACGCTACATGGGCATATGTTCCAGATAAAGTACTAGGCACATTCAAAGAATGAACAGATTTGGTGCACAGGGTTCTGAAATATGACTCTGCATGGACAGATGGAGACCAAACTATAAGTCCCCATTTCGAACTTTGTTCGAATGAGAATTAAAAACATATTGAAAACCACAAAAATTTACAAAATGCCGCAGCTACAGGTTGGTGGTGAAAATGATGACGTTTTTGATATGCATGTTTGATCAATAATCATATACTGATTGGAATATCAATTATTAATATGTAATTCATATCATTAATGAATTTTGTATTTAGAATAATTCAAAATAAACGTGATAATAATACCAATAACACTTTAAAGTATAACGCAGCTTTATCATCACCATAAAACGCATAATGGAGTCTTTTTGTATCGATAATAATACAATCGCATTGTTAATCATTCAAATTTCGACAATGGAAATTATTATGATTTTGATTATTCAAGATCCTTCATAATTACAAAATTTCTCCAAATTTATTGCAAACCCATCATTAGGACACCAGTGAAAAGCTACCAAATATAAAAAGCCTTCTTGAATCGAGAACATTTGTGGTACACAGTATTTTCATAGTTGTGTTTCAAAACCAGTGATGCAAATTTAATGTAGTTTTAGTCGTAGCAAATACAGTATTACTTACCCAGTGACTCGACTACTAATTAGTGATAACATGCCTTGTTGAAGATTTGTAAATTATTTGTTGCTTGTAGTTATTTTTAGAATAATCTTTCAAAGATGTTTAATTATTTAAAGATTCTCTTGCATATCTATAGCACTGTATTCTGCGACAGGATTTGGAAACATCTACCAAGAATAGTACAAACTTATTTTTTTTCTATTCATACGAAACATTCAGTGACAAAGCCGAGCATGGTGCCATGTGTATCGTGACAATTTCTGCTGCAATACTTTAAACTCTTGCAGTGATGATTGAAAAATGATTTCACGATTTAATACAAAGGACGTTAGAAAGGCTGGAATTTCGTTAAAGTTACTGTGTTTTTAACTAAATTATTTTCTCACGCCTGTATGTGTCTGACATACAGATGGGGAAGTAAGGCAGACTGACTGACTGACTGACTGACTGACTGACTGACTGACTGACTGACTGACTGACTGACTGACTGACTGACTGACTGACTGACTGACAGACTGACAGACTGACTGACTGACTGACTGACTGACTGGCTTTAAAGCTACAATCATTGAGTTCATTTTATGGATACTCTGGCCTCTCCAAACAATACTTCAATTACTTGGCCGAATAAATAATAATACTTATAATAATTTATCACTTACCATGGTTTACTCGCTTCGGCTTGGTCTGTTTGTAGTTTCTCTCCTCCATCAACTTCCATAGTACAATATACTATTCTATTGGCTGAGAGTTTTAACCCTTGTACCTCCATGACAACGACCTATTAAACAACAATGAAGAAAGAAATTTTAAAATAAAAAAATCATATAAAAAAAATCCTTGTTCATTGCAAATGCAACAAGCCATGCATGGCACAGTCCCCGTTAGTTATCAAATTTAAGATATAAAGTTTTGTTTATAGTAATATAGCTGGAATATAAACATGTCAGGAATATGATGATTGTTTAACATTTAAATGATTGACATTTGTATCTGATCGTCAAATGAGTATTGAGAGATATTGCTCTGGAACAGCATTAATTAAAACAAAATCAGCCATTATGAATATATGTACAATGAATATATAAAATTTGAACATAGTCAAAGCATGTCAGAGATATGGCTCTAGAAGCCCATTCATTAAAACAAAATGGCCACTAGTCAGCCATTCAGAATCCGATCTAAAAAATAAAACAAGTTTTTTAGCACAAAAATAGCCACCATTAGGCCACTTTGAAAAGGATCGTCAAACCAATATATCAGTATATCTGTGACATGATGTATAACGAATAAAATTTCTTCTTTTTTTTTGACTGGCTTTACTATATATTATCACTTTTTTGTACCACAAAAGGAAGATTGAACACAGGCGTCACAATGCTACACTTCTATTGTAATTTCCCTCATATTGAAAACTTTTTTCAAAACTGTTTTTCATTACCATACCCAGCTCCAATAATTGTGTTTTTAAAAGCATGGCAATCCAGCACCCCCTCAAAAAAATCATCAAAATGACAATTTTCACTCACCATGTGCCAGTTTCAAGAAAATATCATGTCTCTTTGTTATTTAAACACTCGTACAATGAAACAAGTAGAAATTCACACATTTTATTACAATGTTATCCATGTACCATCAGAATTTATAATATCAAAATTATTATGGTCTGTGGAAAAACAATCAAAGTCAAATCAAGACTTTAAAAATTATTTTTGCTGTTGAATGTTTACAATCTTATGCAAAATCTTGATGCAAAACAATTTTGGCCATAATATTTCATTGCATGACTTGATCTGGAGCAACGTTCCCTGACAGGTGAAGTCTGTTATTAACTAATAAGAATCGCAGTTCTCCAGGAATTTTCAAATATTGACAGCATTTTTTTAATGCAATGCTAAAGGTGAATTACCGATTGCGTTCTCTTGGCACTGATTTTGGCGAACATAGAGTGATTTTTGTTTAAAAAAAAATTTGATTTGCAATTCCAAAAGTGGAAGAAGAATTTAACACATTTAAACATGCATTTGATGACGTAGTCAACAGACCTAGCGCAACCTCTGATATGGTCAACAAAAAAACAAAACAATAAACACACACACACATACTGTGGCTATGGGTTAGTTGTTGGTTACATCTTACCTCCAGTGTGAATGACAAAACTACATCCGATTTTGAAAGTGTCGGTTCAGAGTCCTCGGTGACTTCCATCATGGATACCGCAGTGTTCTGTGCCCTGTGTTACGAGTGAGTTCAACGTGCATATACAATCAAGCCAACATTAGAATCATGTACATTCAAGAACCAAGAAAGATTGGTAAGTAAGTTAACCAAACACTGCTATATATTTTGATTTCACTCGCAATTCTTTGTAGACGACAAATAGCAAAATATAAATCATCAATACATTCGTTTAGGGTTACTTTGCAACAAGGCAGGGTTATGCTTTATGTCTCTGCGGAAAGCACATGCATAATGACAGACATGCAGCTTAAGGAACAAGACTATTACATACAAAGTAGTGGTTATGAACACATTCACAGAAAAACAAGAAGAAGAAAGAAACACCCAACAGAAATGAAATTTCCACACAATTTGTGTTATTCAGCATCAGTATCCACACCCTCACCCGAAAAATGACACAGTCCACTTTAGAAGCATGTAGCACTGGGGATATTTCTTTTAATTCCAACCACTAGAGGGCACTCTGACAATCACAAGAGGGCGCTGTTTCCTTAACTGTGACAATACCTGCAGCAATAAGGTACACATGATGGAACAGTGAAGTTTGGGTGTATACTGACCTCTTGAGTTTTTGTATGGAATACTTTGAGTCTGTGTTTCCTTTAGAGACAGGCAGGCTTTCAAGATTCGCCATAAGTAAATTCACCGCTGACCTGAGTTCTTCCACGTACATTCCTTCCATTTCTTTCACAATAAATTTCGGACCATGTCGTGTCTGTCACAAATGTTAGTTGCAAAAGATTAATTAACTCATGCACAACTTAAATTTCTCACTAACACATATTAGCAAGGATTTTTGTTATGAACCTCATTAATCCGATATAGCCTAGAAATATTTTATGATTTGTCTATGGCGTCCCTATTAAGTAAGCAGGGATTTGTGATAGATGCCCCTCAGCCTATAATGTACTCAGTCTCGTAGTTATAAGTATCCCTATGTAGATGGTGATTTGTCTTCAGTGTCCCTAGGTAAGTGGTACTTTGTTATTTAGTTATCATTACCCCCCTCCCCCCAATACAAATAGCTTTTTATTTTCACTTATCTGAGGTATGTATGGGTATCTCTAGAGGTACTTTGCGAGTTGTCCTGCGAGTCGCCAAAAGTCGCATGAAGGCATTCTGCGAGTCGAGTCAAGCCACTTTGCAATGTGTCCTGCGAGTCGCCAAAAGTCGAATGAAGGCATTCTACTAGTCGAGTCATGCCACTTTGCGAGATTTCCTACGAGTCGCCAAAAGTCGAATGAAAGCATTCTGCTAGTCGAGTCAAGCGCACTTTTCAAGTTTTCTTACGAGTCGATGGTAAGCACAAACTGAAAAATTTGCGTTCTCAAAGACAGACCGGAACAGGATGTCGGTAGAAGACAAAAGATTTTTGTGTTAGCGTAGGAAAATTAAGTTCGCCAGCGTCGGGGAAAACAGAGGTGTTAATTCATTGTCTATTCTTGTTTGTGATTGGTCCCTGGTCCAGACAACGTTTGGGAGATCGTGATGGGCTTCATTTTTTAGACCGACGTCATGTCCTTCGTTCAGCATTCAAAAGCGAGAAAAACACCATGTATGTGTGAATAGCTGACTAGCAGCTACGGGGATTGGAGTGGCTGGCAACTACTGGTTAAGGAGGACATGGACCATCTGCCTACATCTATAGCATCAAAGAATAACGCCAGTGTTCATTCGTACACTTTGGTGGAACTTTGTTTTTTAGTCTTAAAATAACGAAAGGGTACCTCGACGATAACGTCGACCTCTGCATTTAACAACATCAAGGACGGGATCAAGGAGTTGAAAACACTTTACGTAAGTGGGCTGATCACAAGACGGCACCAGTGAGATTCGAAAGCCAACTGTTTAGTCAAAACCCAAGCAGTTATAGTAACCAATTCGCTAGCGAGTATGCAAATTGGCTCCCCCAATACTTCTGAGACTTGCTGTAATGTAATATGCATTCATTTTTTTTTTAATTTATTGGTAACGAAAGTATATTCTAAAAGAAGTTTCAAATAAAAACAAACACGAAGACATTGTTTAGTACTCGTAGCAAATGACCACAGTAGCGCAAACCAGTCAATCAACCAACCGAACGTGTCCACGTACACACTGCACCGTACGCAGAGCTAAATCCTGTCACGCGGCGTTTGACAATTGTTACAGTCCTCGACGCGATACCTGGCAGGTCATGTCCCAGATTAACAAATCAAAATACTGAATGGTGATAACATGTTCAAATTACCATAGCTCATTTAAATATGTTAAGGTTAATGAACGCGACATGGGAGAGATTTGCCGATGTTGTATACAGTTTTTTTTGGCTTGGATTTTGATGGTAAAAGGGCATGATTTTTTTTAAATCAAGAAACCAGTTGTTTTCGAAAGATAAACTAAGCATTTGAAGACTAATTTAACATTGTTTATGGTGATAACAGCTCATTATCAAAACGAAGATTACCCATTCGCTCTAGTCGAATAGTCGTCAATGACTACGGTGAAACCTTTATTTTCTTGCTTGACCCGACTAGCAGAATGCCTTCATTCGACTTTTGGCGACTCGCAGGACAACTCGCAAAGTGCCTCTAGAGATATCCATACATAAATGCTTGTCTGTATTTAATGGCTTTGGAGATGAATGAATGGTAGGTTAACAAAGTTAGTGGTTTATTTTCAGTTGTTATCTGTATTTGAATGGCTTTGGAGATGAATGAATGAATGGTAGGTTAACAAAATTAGTGTTTTATTTTCAGTTGTTATCTGTATTTAAATGGCTTTGGAGATGAATGAATGAATGGTAGGTTAACAAAGTTAGTAGTTTATTTTCAGTTGTTATCTGTATTCGAATGGCTTTGGAGATGAATGAATGAATGGTAGATTAACAAAGTTAGTGGTTTATTTTCAGTTGTTATCTGTATTTGAATGGTTTTAGAGATGAATGATTAATAGTTAACAACGTTAGTGTTTTATTTTTAGTTGTTATCTGTGTTTAAATGGTTTAAGAGATGAATGAATGATAAGTATCAAGACACTTTAGAAAAATTAAACCTACCTTTGCTATCATTTCTGCCTGTGTAAGCCTTCCGTCTAATTCTCTTCTGATCTGCGCTGCTTGTTCGTCAGCATTGTCCAGCTGAAAAAAAAATGACAGATAATCAATGCATATAATCAGATTGCAAGTTTGGTGCAAAAGATAGTGAAATGATCAGTGACATTGCGTTAGCTTTTCACTTCCCTGAATCAAGGATTTTATAACAATCACATCATATTAGTAAAACGTTGAAAACAATAAAACAATCTCTTTTGAAGATTAAACATAGTTTAAAAAAAAGTACAATGAACCTTTAAGTTTTGCAGTTTTCAACTGCAGCTAGTTTGCAGAAAAAAGGATGAAATAAACATGATTTGAAGAGTACCGCCAGCGATAGTGGAATACGCTAATCACGTCTTAATGACGAAACTAGCCTGGATCAATTTGTACCATCAATTATACTGTCGCATGTTTTAACCTTTCCGTACACGATACAAAAGTGGACGCTGACAATTGCATGGTTAAGGGCGCTTTCTTTTTTATTTCTTAATGCAGAGTACTTTGCAAAGTCCACGTAGTTTTTGAAAAATAAGGCAGCAACATACTATGCAAAACAACCTATTACGTGACGCATCATAGATAGATAGGAATATGTTTTAAGATGGCTAATTTTTACACCTTGTGATCATCCTGTTGAGTGGCCAATTAGCTAGTTTAGTCAAGAATAACTTTTAAATGAATGGGAGACTAAAGGGTGATATCGTGGGTTTCTAACAAGTTGTATTTTCTTCAGTGTACTTGAAAGAAGGATGAAATATGCAAGTGAGTTTCTTTGCAATGCACACCATACAGTGGCAGTAGCAGTGGCAGTAACCAAGGCAACGGGGCAGATCAATTGAGTTTGTGATGTTGTATTGATTCGGAAATTACATGATACTACTCTCATTTGTGATTGTAACACGTGGGATACCTCAAGATTTATATTTCAAAGATAATCACTTCAGATGACGATGCAAAAAGCAAAAAAAACAAAAACAAAAAACACATTTTTGGGTAAAAGTTTAATGTTCAACTGGATCACACGATTTATCACACATTATATATAACAGACATCTTGCAAATAGATTTAACAACACCAGCCATGTAGCAATTGGTCCAATTTAATAACCCCTGTTATCTTCAGATGTATGTGAATTACGCAATGCTGGCCACAAGAATTACGGCATTACAGCTATCATGCAATAATTTTAATTGGTTGCACATCTCACAGGATAGGAGGACACGCAACAACCATCAAAACGCTCATGGCCGAATAATTCAATATTCTAAAGTCACGATGTTATACATCGCATGTAATGACAAATGCGATGCCAAAATCTTAAGGGTAATATTGATTTCGTCTCTACAACTCTAACAAAACTACTCCTAAACATGAAATTTTCATACTAATATTTTTAGAAAAAATCTACTGTAACCTTGCGGTTTGCGGCAGCATCTAAATATTCAAGTTAGTCACGTCTGAGAATTCAAACTAGTCTGTCAACAACACACATGCTACGTGCCGTTCTCAATAAGTCAGTAACCTGAATGACAGGACAATGGCAGTTAGAGGATATCCATACAGTTACCATGGTTACAGCTAAGATACTATTAACTGACTTCGTAAGCCAGTGTCTAATCCAATAAAAAAAAAAAGTGAAATTTACAACACACGTAATACTCAGAGGTTAGTTTCACATCCATTATGGGATCTCATTTCATCATCAATAACCCACAATCACTTTACAAAATTTGTTGTGCATTTGTAATTCTTTATGATTTCTAATTTATCATTTATTTATAATTCAAAGGATATCATAATCAGAATAGCGAGATGCTATCAATATTTCCATATACTGAAAGTTATGAAAATATATATAAATATATATTTCAGTAATTTTTTATGTTCTGTATATGATAAGATATTTACATATTACATGTACAAAATGTACGAGTAGAAGAGATGGGACATATTTTAATAAAAAACAGTTAATGACAAGTTGATTGATTATCATCAAAACTACTGAAGAGAACATCATTAGTTCATTATCACCAAACAAAACCTGTCTGTATGAGATATGGATAGAACATTAGTTGAACAAAAAAAATGGCCACCTGTCGGCCTTTTAAATCAAAGTGTGAAACAAAATGAAGTACATTAGTACCCCACCATGACTGATGCCAATACTAAATTTGAATAAAATCCGCAAAGGCATGCCTAACAAACAGTTGACAACGTGCTCAAATGGTGATTTTGGGGGATAAAAATGGCTATCAGTTGGTCAAAGAAACAAAAAAAACAAATCAACATGCATAATAGTATACCATCAAGACTTCTTTTTGAACCAACTATGAAAAACAGTCCAGGCATTTTGAAGAAATGATGTCATACCCTGACAGACATACAGGAAATCCGCGCCGTTTTGGACATCATCCAAGGTAGATTACGGTAACAATCGCATAATCATTATAATGCACGACATAGTGACAGCGACATTTGTTACAAAGTCACCTTCAGAAGAGGTGACTATGACCTAGAAAATAAACTCATGTGAAGACTTCTTGATCCCTATAAAATGTTTGTTTAAGAGTTCCAATAAATTCAGATGAAATAACTGAAATGCTTTTAATAAGTTATTACATGTCAATTTTATTGGTGTTATTTTTGTCCACTGATGAGGAAGGAGTCTTCAAAATTTACTGAAAATCCCAAAGGTCCGATGTCAAAATAGCGTAAAACTGCTGTAAAAGAGCTAGCTGTATCTTTAATAAAGTACAGTCCAAGCATTACTTAATTTCCACGCTGACTAATATCTGGTTTTGCCTTTTCATAAAAACCCATAAAGCGAGTATCATTGTTGTTATCAATAATTTCAACTTATGTTTTGTAGTATTTATATATTTATGTTATTGATCAGGGGCGGATACAGGATTTTTTTTATG